ATTTTGGAGTCGGGGGGCAAAACCCGCTCGTCGCTGGCGGAAAATCTGTATCGGTCTTGGACTAATACCCAGGTTTTCCGGCAGGAACCAACCCATTTCTCTACTCAGCTTCAAATTCCGCCTGCCGTCAGCGCCGATTCGTCCGCAAATTCGCAAACGTACTGATTTACTAATTTTTGATAAAGCTCATCAAGTTGTTGAGTGAAAATGTATGTCTATTATCACAAAGTAAAAAGTTAATCCTACTATTTGAAGTCGGTTTTTGACACGTTGTGACGATTAGCACACTTTGATATGTCCCCTCGGCCTTATAACACACGAGCACAGATCGCTTTAGCGTAGATTTCTTGGTTGTTTGAAGTAACTCTGTAAAGCTTAAAGACCACTCTGCATGTATTTCTTTTTTAAAACAATTATAGTGGCTGGAGCGCCTTCGAGAAGCACCAACGTTATTCACCCATTTCGAACATCCATACATCGCGCTCCTGGCTTCTAGTTGAGTCTGACTTGCAGAGATGGCGCTGGTTGTCCGTTGGCGTTTTTGTCTTATGCGCATCGCGGCGGGCAATCGCTCAACGAAAGAGCGCCCGCCAACCTCGTTAATGAAAGGCGGGTATCGGATTTTTTTTTTTTTTTTTTTAATTCCATATTTTATTGTTTTTTTGCACGAGCGTTTTCGATATTAGCCCCGAGAAGTTCGCCTGGCGCCCCCTTACGGCGAACCGCGGTGACGTCACGGCGAGGAGAGAATTTTTCCCCGACTCGTCCCGCTCGCCCTGTGGACGCTGTGACGACGCTAGCTGTCGGCGCGGTCGTTTCTATTTAATTTTTTTTGGCGTGCTTTTCGTAGGAAGTGTAAATTTTTATATACGCCTTTATTGAGGTATTGCCTGTAGCTACAGGCGAAACTTCAACGAGCATTTTAAGCACGGCTGACAGGCCAGGCAACGCATGAACCACAGCTGGTATGTGAAAATAAATAAATATGGCCACAATTGCAGGGGCATCACTACAGATTTACATCTCGCACAATAAACGCTGCTGATGGTCCGAATGAATTGGCAGGTTATGTATACTATTTTTTTTTTGTATCTCTGTCTTTAAACAAGATCGCCGAAGCAGAAAAGCTGCATGCTGATCGAGCAACGTGCTAAATACAGTCTCGGCCATGGGGGGAGAATCACAAGTAAGACAGCCCAAGTGCAGGGGCAAAGTAAAAAAACACACAAGGAACATTTATTATATACATTGCTCGTACTTGACCTTTGCTGGATTCGGATAGTATTTCAATGAACTACACGGATGGTATCTGTGGACTTGTTTATATCAATTTTCAAGTAATATATAACACACATAAGGTAGGGTGTCTAGCTCGTTATTAGTCCATTAAGCCCTAAAATTTAGATTTTGCTTAAATCCAATTGTCCTGAAGCTAAAGTACCAGAAGCTTTTCTCACGCAGACTGTCGCCCTTCACAGGTTCCACATTTTCTGCTACTAGTGCTGCATCTACCACTGGACAGACGTTCGAATGCTTGCTTTTACTCCTGTTTTCCTCTGTTGTCAGAGAGTCCAGTTGCAGGGAGTTTGGAGGCTGAGGAAGCTTTTGGGGACCTGCGGCAGTGACTCTTAAATGGAAATGACAATTCAGACTAAACGGTGCATTTTCCGAATACCAAAGGCTGGAATAAAGAATGTCAGGAAAAAGTATAAACATCCCAAATTACGGCACTATTGCTGTGCATATTTTGGGCAGTTGACTGCATATCATAGAGCCAACTGGGGGAAATTCGGCCGTTTTTGCTGCTACCATACAAACTAATTTCCAGTAATTGTGAATCCTCTAAGAAATATGCCTGCATAAGCGTATAAACTATATAATTAATTCAGGAAGAAGCTACATTTATGTAAAACAACCCTGTTTCATGAGCACTTCAAAGATCATCAGACGCAGGGCCTTTAAAACATCTGCAAACCAGCGCATGCAGAGTGGAAGCGCAGAGTCGGGGTCGCAAGCTAATTTGCCGACCACCGAAAGGCTCATGATATAAAGGCCGCTTCAGATGCCTTGAAAGCGGGATGTGATATCGTCCTAAATCATGAACATGCAAGGAACAGAATTCCAGCGTCTGAAACACTTGCGTCACCGCTTCACCGACCCCTCTCAAGATTGCCTTGCGTCGTGTGGACGGACGGGGAGGTTCATCGGCGTAATTGCCTCCGCCGATAGTTTTCGGGATTTGTAACCCAATTTTAAAGGTAAAAGGGACAAGCAGGCTTATAAGATGTACGGAAGCACGTTAATATCGGCCTAACTCAACGTCTTGTACACCGGGTAAACGAAGTCCGGCTCCTCGAAGAGCTTGCGGCACACAACGCCAAACCAGGAAACCGGCGCTGGGAAGCGACCCGATGCGAGATCGCGGAGCGGGGTACTCGCCCTGACGTCACGGTACACCTCACCCAATCAGGGCGCGGGGACCGCAGCGAGGCTTGTGTTCGCTCTCGGGGCTAATACTGAACCTGTTTTGGAAGCCAGGCAAGGCAGTCCTCCTCGCTGCAATATAACTTCCAATAGTGTAAAACTAAGGGGTTACCCTTTATCCCAAACGGAAAATATGTGCACGGGTTGTACTCCTACTCAAATTATATTTGAGAGAGAGAGGGAGAGAGAGATAGAGCCTTTATTCAAGCCGCCCAAGTCTGGCGAGTGCTGAGGCCTTCCGGGGGGAGGGGGGAGGGGGGGGGGGGGGGGGCTAGGCGTGTCATGTCGGAGCTTAGAATATAATTGAGTAGCTTCTCCAAATAGTTTGTCGCTTCAGTGCTGCTGATTTGGGCAAAGCGTCATGTTAGACAAGCAGATTAAGCCTTGCACAGGTGACAACGACACCGACTTCTATTGAGCCGAACAAACACAGTTTTCACACTCGGAAAGTTTTGAATCGTGCAACGGTAATTTCTTTATTCTTCTAGGTATATAAAGGTTTTGACTCGGAGGTGATAACGGGCAGGTTTAGTCGACGGCGTTTGCAATAGGATTGCAAAAAAAAAGAAAAAAGAAAAGCTTATAAAAGACGCGCACTAACCCTGAGATGTGGCATAAATTGAATATGGACGTCCTTGACCCTGAAATAATTTTACCATAAAATTGACAGTTTGCTCTCTGACATAGAGGTTTGGAACGCAAGCGGGTCTTCACCAGGTTAGATTTTCCGTCCAGGATGGAGAAGAGTTCTTTTTGAGACATCTCGCTCCCCAACAGGGCACCATGGTCTAGTCCAATCTCGGCGCCTTTTTCTGTAGTTATTTCAAGACGTCGCCTTAAAATAAACTTGCGTTTTTTATCTGATGATTTGAAGACATAATGTTTACCCTGCTCAAAGTAATCTGTACAAGGAATGGAATGTACACATGTTGAGCTCGTGCCTACAGTGACTTTAATGTTTTGAACCAACGGAATAGTCGGCCAACTGAAACACCCCGGAAGACATATTATCTTTGCAGTGCAGGAAAGGCGTTTACAAATCTTCGGGACATAATATTTGATAGAATTTATGGTCTGCTTTATAGCATCCCATTGGACCACGAATATCCGAGGGACATCCGGTTTAGATCCGAACGTCCATGACCCCAACGACCGAAACGGGACGTCCAAGGGACCAACGCGGGACGTGTATTTCAGGTTATAAAGAACGTCCATTTTCTCTGCTCCTGTGGATGTCCTCTAGATGTCCGCTTTGGGATTGTTGGAATTTGCCCGATAGATCCCGGGCATGATATCCTCTGGACGTCCATTGTAACACGACATAAATCACTTCAATTAGAGGGTCTAGGATAGTGCATTCCAAAAGCCAGAGCAGCACTGAGCAACCGGAAAGGCCCCCAAGTTTCAATAACTAGCGAAAAGACAGCGAGTGTGCACCCAAGCTGGTGGTAGCTAGCCAATCGTGTCGAATAAAGCCTTTGCGCTCGCAGCATGCAGTCTCAGGTGTTGAAGTTGCCTCCCATGGCTTTACCTTCGGCTTTCAGATTTTCCTACCCTAAACTTATTAATTTAATGGTGATGCGTCCTGCTTTCATCTCGTGTGTTTTTGTTTCGTTTTTGGAGTTATTTGCTGGAGAGGCTGCTAGATCGCCATCGTCATCAATCCTGTTTTTCCGGTTTTCCCGACTCCTCTGCAGCTAGTGCGCGCGCGAACGTTTTGGCGGGTTTTCCACTTCTGGTTTCGTCGTCTCGGAAATAAGGTGAGTACATCATTGTATTCATTTAGTCCGATATGTATCCTATTTACGTAAGAATTCGGCTGTACCGCCATTGTCTACTGAGGCATGTCGTAGCGTAGTAGCCCGCGTTGACTGTGAGTACTGTGCCACCATGCCTGGATCACGGCCGGCATACGCCTGCAAGAAAGCCTCCCGAGAAAAAAGAAGAACTTTAGCGCTTCTTGATCATGCCAGCAAGGACATACAGGAGGTCGAGTGCAACCCCAGTGAACGTCGTCTCGAGCAACGTAGCACGCCTGCCGCTGCTGAACATGCCCGCGGATCCTCGCGGGGGATCCGCGGGCATGTTCCGCGGATCCCCCGCGGGCGCACCAGATCAAAGGAGGTTCCGCGGGCACCAGTCTAAAGAGGACAGGATAATTTCGATGGTGAAAATAGCAGTGCCACCAGATGCGTCGTGGAAACGATTTGCTGTGGCGATGAAAGGGTTATTCGGTATGGACAATATTATAATGTGGTGTGGTGCAAGAAAGCTGACACTACGGATGCTTGTCCTTTCAGCAACGTACGAGCAGGTACGGAAGAAGCTGGAGCGTAGCCAATACACATCGGAACTAAGCAGCGACTCAGAAAGGCCGCAAGGCAAGAGGATGCGGAGGCCATCGCCCCAGTGGTCGCAGTCTGACGAGGAACCAGTGCGGCACAAGCCAACAAAGGCAGCCCCCCGAAAAGCGCCCGCAGTACTGGCAGATTTTCCTCAAGGTGATTTGCTAAAAAATGCATTCTGTCTCGTGTTATAAGACACCCCTGAAAGTAAGGACAACTTGTGGCAACCAATGCAGTGTCGAACACTTCTTTCCCAGGCCTGTTCACTGCAGCATCAAAGGAGGGAAGCAGTTCTGCAGGAAGACAAAGTAAGTGAGCTTCCTCATGCTTGGCGCACATGTGGCTCATATCGAGGCATCACGGTGATGCTCCACACTGCACCACTGCTCCTAGCCAGTGGCTTGGCAGTAGTAGTTGAGAGGCCTTGCAGCACTTCTGACGCTGGAACACTGTCATCAGCAAGGAGCAGAGTGCCAGCGGGGAGTAGGAGGTCAAAACAGCTTTCCTTTGTGTGCGTCTGAGGTTTCGCTTGCAAACTTTATATATATCAGACCACAGCAGTTTCTTTTGAAGTTCATTATGCCAGGCCTCTTCTATGTGCATTTGTTTTTTCTTTCATACTTGCCTTTCACTGCCTGTGACCATTGTTTCTGTGCTCTTGTGGATTTGCACCGCAATATTTTTTCGCACATCTGATTTCAGGTGGAGTGACTTTTTTTTACTTTTTAGTGTACAAGTTTTTGCTGTGCTTTTTTTCACAAAAAAAAGGTTTTTTAAGGAAGTTGCATATAGTGTGGTGCACCTTGCAGTGGTTAGCTACCCTTGGTAATGTTGCAGTAAAACCACTGTGATCCACTGTGCATTCCAGCTGAGGTGTTGTTTTCGAAGTTGTCTTTGATGACAGGTGAAATAGATTTTAATAGAAAATTTAAAGATTTTTGGTTTGAATTTTTGTGAAGAAATTTGTTCTTCCTTACACTTCGCATAACATTCGTCAAGGTTGTAATGCTTGTGTGGCACTGTTTATTCATACTGTGATATTTTGAACATATCGAAGTTTAGACAAAGTGAATGCTTTTGAAGGGGTTTGCTTGGCATTTTTTGTTAACATGCTATAGTGTCGCTTATTTTTGATAAGATGTTACCAACGAGGCTGCATATAGCATGGTGTACCTTGCAGGGGTTAGCTACCCTTGGTTATGTTGCAGTAAAACCATTGCGATCCACTGTGTTTCTAGACTAAGGTGTTGTTCTCGAAGTGGTCTTTGATGACATGTGTTACATTTAAAAACATTTTGTTTTGAATTTTTGTGAAGAAATGTGTTCTTCTGTACATTTGGCATAATGCATGTCAAGGTTGTAACGCTTGTATGACATGTTTATTCATACTGTGATATTTTGAACATGACTAAGTTCAGTTGGATTGAATAATTTTGAAGGGGCTTGCTTGGCATTTTTTCTTTACAAACTATAGCATTGTCTATTTTTGGAAAAGATGTTACCAAAAAAGCTGCATACAGTATGTTGTATGGTCGCGATCCACGTGCAGGCGATTGTCAACTGCTTTGTACTGGCAGCACCGGACAAAAGCGGCCATTTATGCACATTCTTTTTAATTTCAAAGGCTTTGCGAACCAGAGGCCAGATTCACGAAGAGCTTCTTAGTTTACGACAACTTAGCTAAGAAGTTCGTAAGTTAAGAACATCGTAAGAAGAGGAGAAATCGGTATTCACGAACGCGTTCTTAAGTGAGAGGAGGAAAGCGACGTTGTCGTATGGAAAAACTAAAACTTACCGGTGCTGTTGCTATGGCGACGGCGTCTTCGGCAGCACGAATAACCAATCGGAGAGCTCGGCATTTGTTCGGAGCCGTTCGGAGCACGTGGATTTGTCATAACAAACACAGGCGGCCTTTCTGCCACCGTTGGTCTGGGGTTCATATCCGTGCAGTGATATGTCGACGCTAACACGATTTAAACTCGCCCGAATGCCGAGGCCGGGGTGCGTAACCACCCCCATTGACTGCTACGAACTCGATCGCTACCAAGTCAACACAACTGTCATCGTTGGTAAAAGACGGCCCGCAGTCGTTTGCAAAGCGACGTAGATGGGAACAAATCGCCGCGGTGTTTTTTGCGGCCTCGGAGATGCAGGAGCGAGCCGACGTTAAAAAAAAAGATACGTTTGAACTACGACAGTGTAAGCAAGAGCCACGTAAATGCCTGTTCACACTACGGAGCGGACGCGCGTGTTCGATCGAAGTGCACTGGATTTGCGCTGTTGGACCGCAAATTGATAAGCGCTTCGGGACCGATCCTTTACAATTGCAACTCGATGCTGACGTGACACCCGGCGAAGAAAGGTTGAACCGGCATTGCGACCCACGAACTGTTACAGCGATCGACAGTGAGGTGCAGTCATGTCAGAATAAAATGGAATACTAATAACAAAGTGTACATACCATGTTGCGAAGGTAATCCATACGGCGTTTATTTGAGCTTGATATCACACAAAACAGAGATAGAATCGATGAGAGCCCCTTTTCGACGACAGCGTTCGTCACCGTTGCCTCGGAAAACGAGGAGATGACAAGAGGAAGAGATTGACCTCTTAATCTAGAATTGAGGTCAGCGATCAAACTATAATACGGGAAGGGTTCACAAGGGTCGCGCGGGCATATTCCACTCAGCACGCCAGCCGGTCGTGGGCAGACGGTGTTCGCCAAGGACCGTCAGATCATCGCTGCGCCGAGTCGGAGTGCCTGCTAGGCCTATCTGCCGATCGGTCGGAGTCCGTACTCGTGGCCCTTAGAGTTTTTCCCGTGTGTCTGTGGATCCAGCGTTCTTGTTCGTTCGTCGTGATCTGTTTCAAGTACTTTTTACTTGTTTCTTGCTGCTTGAAGTCGGGACGCGTGAGAAGCGCACGTAGAAAAATAAACATCCGTTGGTTGTCGCGACCAACTGAGCGACGCTGTCGGCCATGCTGATTTGATCGTAAGAAGTGCGTAAGACAGCTTCGGAGTTGTGGTAGGATTTCGTCGTAACCTGCGCAAAACTTACGAAAATTTCGTTTCGTGAATACGGATTTGTTCTTAAGTTTTGTCTTACGCACATTTTTGGCGTAAGATCGTTTCGTGAATCTGGCCGCTGGTGCAGAAGGGCATCCGATAACAAGAGTAAGCCGCCACTGCATTACGTGCCAGGACAGAGTGATCGACGATCCCCTGTTTTCCTTCGCATGAATCATGACTACCTTGCAAGGACTGCATGTTTACCCCTGCTAACATTGTTGCAGTATGACCATTGTGATCAACTGCCTGTTCCTACTGTGTTTTTTTTTATAAAGTTGTTTAGGTGTGTAGTTGCACTTAAAAAGTGTTGCTTTTAATTTTTGTGAATAAATCTGTTCCTTCTAACTTTTAGCATATGGTTCTTTAGAGGTACAAAGTTTGTTCAGTATAATGTTCCTCGTTATATTTTTTTTTAAATTTTGTTAAATCTTTTTAGAGTTAAACGATGTGACCATGCTGTTATGCATCATCTAGAGAGTGCAGCACAGTTAGCATGAACATGCCTTTGCCAACTTTTCCTGTTTTACTATGACAACCAAAGCCAAGTCGCCAAAACGATTTAATTTATATGGTCGAAAGGGCTCAACTGGGACACAGCATAAGTGATAAGACGTTGCCTCTCGAAAAAAGTGGTGATATGTTCTTTCTAACTGTGTCATAGTATGTACTTAACATTTATGTGTAACTTCGTGCAAATTGTTAAACTTGCATGTGAATCCTCTCAGGAATGCTCTTGATTAAGAATTCATTCTATTTTTCCTTTACCCGAGCGTTCAAAATGACCAAGATGCTGCTTAATCAAGGTGCTCCTCTTGGAATTACCCTTTCCTGTCCATGTCGGAGGTTTTGTGAACCATATATTTTCTCACTATACCCACATCTATTTCTGGAAAGAGTACATCATGTCATGCCTGTGGCAACCAGTCCTTTTTGGTTTAGAGAGAAACCCTGCGAATAGAGGTCCATAAATAATATGACTCGAAATGGTGAAATGTGCTTAGACGGTTAGCATGTTAATTTTATGCCCGCTTTTCCTGCACAGCTTGTTAATTTAGCTTGGTTGTATCCTGGGCCTTCTCATTTGCTAGTCTCTCTTAAGCCACTGCAAAGAACAACCTTTTTTAAAACAGGTTAGTTATGGGATTTGCATTCCACATAATGCATTCCCTCCCATCCCCCCCCCCCCCCCCCCAAAAAAAAAAAAAATTAATTGCATGGTACTGATTTGAGTTTTCCCGAAACTGGCCCTTAGACAGATTTAAGTCCATTTTTCGGGAGAGCTCAAATGAGTCTCATGTCCTTGATATTGCTTCTTGGGTATAGATCGTAATCAGGCTGCGTAAAAAAAAGCTTTTTCTTTTCAATGCCCTCTTAAGCCACTATAACTAGTTGCTCAATCAACTGCAGAAAACTGGATGAACAGACATTTTAAGAAATAAATGTGGGAAAACACGAGAAAATATGGCTAACGAAAGTTCTGGCATGCGTAGGGAAAGGCATTTTGATGGGAGCATCTTGACCGGTACGGTCCAGGTGAGCTCCAGTTCGGATAAAAAAAAGGATGTCCCGTGGATGTCCGTTATCCATAAAAGGTTATTCTTTGGACATCCGGTGGATATTTTAACGGGGAATATGTCTCTTTCTGATCATCCGAGGGACGTCCGAAAGTCCGACTTGGATGTACGTGGGATGTCACCTGGATGAACAATTTCTTTGCACAGGCCCATCCTACGGACGTCCCCAGTACGTCCTTGGGATTTCTGCGGATATCCTACGGACGTCCCAATGTTCATTGCAGGATGTCCACCGGATGTTCCTTGGATATCTATTGTCCAATGGGATAGCCTCAAAGTCCTGTTTCCTGCACCTGCCACCCCGGTGAGGCACCTTAAAAAGAAAACGGTCGTTTGAAATTCCTCACCAATTGTAACGAGAGTCATTGGACCACACTGTAAAAGGAAACCGTAAGTCAACAGGCTTTTCTTCAAAACTGGAAAGCGCTGCGATATCCGTGCACGGGCAAAACGGCATAGAGGCGACACGTCGGCACGAGTCAGTAAATGTACGGCTTCACATATTTCTTAGTTCAGGTCTGTGTTCCCGTTTCTTTCAAGTAAAAACACATAACACACGCCACGTTTCCTCTAGGGGTCGCTTTCTTGTTGGCACATGTCTCATATTGCGTGCCATTCGTGCGAATGCGAAGATCTCTTTGAGCGGCGGAGGGAGACCCACGCG